GTGTAGGCAGATACCGCCATATTATTGTCGTTACTAAATTTTTGAATGCGTTAGCGAAAGTTACTAACTGATTATTATGCCGTTGGCACGACTATATGTGATTCGCGAAACCTTGCAATTATTTACAAACAATATTTAATTTGTTAATTGATTTTGATATATCGTAATTTAGTATTTACTATATTCTCTTATACAATTTAACAATTAAACTTTGTACAAATAATTAACATAATTTAATTTCAAAATCGTTAATATAAATTTTTATGCTTATTAACGTTGCCACAATTGATTCTTGGCGTTTCGCGGTTTATAAAGGATTTTAAGATTTTGATTAATTTTTTATATATTTCAGTACTTTATTATATCTTGTGTAATTTTCTTTTGCATAAACTTGGCATTATACATTTTTTAACAAACTTTGTGTTGTTGTTAATGATATTCGTATAATATAAATATTTCATCAAATTAAAGCATTTTCATTTGCATAAATTACATAGAATATCGCTTATTCTTACTACAAAACTTTTTAAAATAATTATAACAATAGAGAAGAAAAAAGCTTTTTGCCGAAAAAAAGCTTTAATATTTGCAATATAGAAATAAAATATTAAATAAATACAGTACCTTCCATTGATCCTGTCGACACAAGCATCCACTTTCCAAATTCATATACGTTATAAGATTGCTGCTGTACTAATTTAAACACGTATTGGACTGCGTTCGAAAATCTATCTATCGTATAGAACAGCATTCGATTGTCCAATCAGAAGAAAGAAATCTTTACTTCTTCATATTCGATTAGAAAATGGCCATATTGAATATTAGTTCATGTATATTCGCCCAGGTGGCGCTTGAAACATTCTCAAGCGAAATACGGGAGTAGCTGTCTGCTGTCTATTTTTTTATGTCATTTGTGATTCAACGATATAGGAGGTTCCTGGGTACATATAGTGTAAGAATTGAGTGGATATTTATCGCGTCGTAGTAAAATATCGAGTAAACTTTTTAAAACAGTAGCTCTTTGTGCTTCGCTGAACTGAACTGAACTCACGGAAACAACGATCGATCTCGAGAAGATGGGCCGATCCCGTTCTAGAACGAAATCACCGAGCAGACGGCGTCACAAGAGCAAGCATTCTCGCAAGCGATCCAAATCGCGTGAGAAGCACTCCAACAACAAATATTCAGACAAACCGAAAGAACGTAGTTCCAAGTCCAGGTGCGTTGCATTGCGTTTGACATCCCATCGATGCATCTGATTCTCCAGCATTTCACGAGAAATTTGAAATTAAGAACAATTTTTTCGGCCATTTTGTCACGCTTTGAACTCATTTTTAGCATGTTATGTTTGGTGATAAAAACTGTACACATAGATATTCTTGAATCATTATGTATCTTATTATTGTAAATTTTCGAACTTATATGTAAATAAATATTTCAACAGACTATGTACATGCATTAAAAATAACACTATAGTTATAATTGGGTGCTGTTTTAGAAAACGATCCCATTCCGCATCATCCAGCAGTGGTTCAGAAGTATCAGACGATGTGCACATCGTCAGTCACAAAAAACGCTCGTACAGAGATAGGGATCGAAAAATGGATGAAGTGGAAAGACTGGCAGAAATGGAGCGACAAAGGTAAACAGTAGTAATTAAGTATGTTGATAATGTTCCTCTTGATAGATCACACACTAGGGTTGGAAAATAGATCATTTACCAACCCTATTCTTTTATATTTTGTTTAATATCAAGAGTGGAACATTATTTTACAATTATTTTATATCCAAAATTTTTGTTATACGTTATTTTTTATAATTGTGTTGTCAGGAAAAAGAAAGAATTAATGAACAAAATCTTCACTACGAGCACAGCTGGGTAAGAATGTGTAATTATTTCATGGTGGACAAAGGTAAACAGTAGTAATTAAGTATGTTGATAATGTTCCTCTTGATAGATCACACACTAGAGTTGGAAAATATTAGATCATTTACCAACCCTATTCTTTTATATTTTGTTTAATATCAAGAGTGGAACATTATTTTACAATTATTTTATATCCAAAATTTTTGTTATACGTTATTTTTTATAATTGTGTTGTCAGGAAAAAGAAAGAATTAATGAACAAAATCTTCACTACGAGCACAGCTGGGTAAGAATGTGTAATTATTTCATGGTGGTGGTTTATATATTTAAAGCTCATCAATTCTCACTTTTTGCTAAAAACATGCTTGACGCGTCATATGCAAGGACCAATAACATTTTTAGTACTGTCACATATAGCAAATTTTAATTTGATTCAAATAATTATATCGATAAACTTCAAAATTTATGGCACTTGACATTTAATGAAGATTTAGCATGTTGTTAACTTCACTTCTATAAAAAAAAAAAATTTCTGATACGGTGCTCTGGAAGAAGATTGCTGCTTATTTGTCTACAGACGTCAGCGCGAGGTGGAACAAAAAATGGTAGAGGAGGAAGCAGCCAAACGTATTGAAGAACTTGTACAAAAAAGGGTAGAAGAGGAGCTTGAGAAACGTAAAGAAGAAATTGAAGCAGAGGTGCAAAGGCGGGTGGAAGAAGCAAAGAGGGCTATGGAGCGTCAAGTGATGGAGGAGATGGAATGGAGGCAAGCAAAACTACGTGAGGAGGAGAAACGAAGAGAGGTAAGATCTATCAATAGAAATATTGGTCAGTGATAGCCCAAGCGCTGTTATGATCAGCAAAAAATAAATCTAGCAGTCTTTTAATGCAATTATTCCCAAAAGTCGGAACATGTATAGAATGTATTTTCGTGAAAAATGTTAGTTAATATTATCTATAGCTGAGAGACATATAAATTTTAAATGGTTGTCACAATGTATCGCAACATTTACAGAATATGAAATCTGTAATAAATGAGAATAGAAAACATCCAAAAGATATATTTGTATTAAGGCTTTGCTATTAATTGTTAAACTGTGCTAAATACAATTTGTAAATCTTTCATATTTTGATCTTGATATCGTGAAACTATAGGATTTACAAATTGTATTATTTCTATTAGAGAAATCATATGATTGAATTTACAAACCAGTTCTATTATAATCCTACATTTTACGATCACAGCGTTTGGGCTTGAAGCATTGTGGTTCGCGATTATACTGTAAGAAATTAAACGAGAAAACCACACTGCTTCGACTTCTCAGCATCCACGGAGGTCGCGTTACTGAGAAGCTATATTTGATACTATTATGAAAGATTCTTTGCTATTATAGGCGCATGTATCGATTATTTATGATCAAATTATTTCTACCATGTACATATATTTATATATCTGTACAACATTATAACCTTTTTCATCACACAATATATGGATTGACGTTTGTGTCAGCAATTCTAGAAAATGTGTTTAGACTGCTCTGATTCGTTTGAATCACAGTCTACATTCACAATTTCTGTAATTGTTGTGCATGTTGGCAAATCTGCTTATCAATCTTCTTATATACTATCAATCTAATTTTAAAAAATGTCCACAAATATCCACTTTATCGCATTATGCAATCTTTAAGAAAAAGTAGAAAAGAAGAAGTATTATTTATTTAAATAAAAGTAACAATTCCAAACTTTGTAATTTATCGATCAAGAGAAGTTTATTATTCTTGAATCTGAAATAAAGTTATTTTTATATGAAATTATAAAACAATAATATTCTTCCCTGAAAAGAGTTGTTACTGTCAATTGAATCAGCATAGTGACAATATTATACTGATATCACATAAAATGTATATACGTTCAGAGGATACTACAGATGATACTACAGATGATAGAGGGAGAATAGCTTACTATCAGCTATAAATAAAATTTTGTTAGACTTTCTTACTTTTATATGATTAGATAATATATAGATATTTTTATAGAAATACGTAAGGATATCTTTCTTTTATATGTACAACATGATTTACTTATACCGCTATATAACAGTTCACGCGCGTGCGCGAGAAAATATATATATTTTTAATAATTTAATATAAATTTTCTCTTTTTCTCGAACACGTACATATATAAATATTACGTTTTAAATTCAGGAGAGAATTGAGACGCAATGATAAATAATTCTTACGGTATTATTTCATTCTTCAATTTTAAGTTTTAAGCTTGCCCAACAATTGTTACATATATAAACATGTATTAATTATTATGATAAAGAATCCTGTTATTTAATTTGCGCGATCTAACGAATCAAAAATCAGATATCGTTTTTCATTTTATTTCATTAATTAGGATTGTATTTACTATTATATTTTTTGTATCTATGCACAATTATTTACTTTTATACCCTCTTGGAACATTATCTTCTTTGTCGATTGGACAATAATCTTAATTACAAGTTTATTAGAAGTTTTACTCTCATTTTTGCACATTGAGTTTGCGTTGATTATCTCTACAAATTTGGGAGAAAGTTTATTAGAAAGGGAAAAGTTAGAGACTTTAAGGGGGCAGAGAATTAGAATCCCATAGCGACAAAGCACGACCTAGCGATATATAGGTCATCTTCCTTACTGACTACCAACAGAAGATGCCGGTTTTTTACTCACTGCTGAGTGATTGTCGATGAAGAAGGCATCCCCTACGTGCTGGCGTGAGCTTCATTCAGGTATTATCCAATTTATATATTCATAATTCATTTTATACCAATATTATTATCATTGTTCTTTGTTTCAACACTTTGTACCAGAAAGACCATATTAGGGCTCATTTTATAGATTCGCTAAATACTATTGCCATAGGACACGACGAATATTCATCGACAGGTCGGGCGGATGGCAACAACCATTCATAAATGTACTTTAGGGTATTAATTTTTGCGTTATATCATCTACAGACCTCATTTAAAAAATTTATCTACAAACATAATATATTACAAATAACATCTCTTATTTAGTTCTTATCATGCACTCTTATATCGAGTTTATGGAAAGAAAGTTTTGTGTATATTCTTTGCATGCACATTGGATTCTCGTATAAAGTTATGAGAAATTTATTTTTATTTTTATTTTTTTTTTCATTCAAATGTGACATTTGTTTAAATCATCATATTCTTATTTAGGCAGTCTGAGAAAAAACAGAGTTTGCTGAGATCTAAGAGGAATGCATTTAATACAAAAGAAGGAATTGTATATGCATATATCCTCTATCATTCTCTATTTTTCATAAGCCATCCTCTTTGAAATCTGGCTTAAAAATTTTATATATCCCGAACTTTCCCTTATAAAGGTTCTTAGGATGTGTAACACTAGGTTGTTGACATAGCAGCACTATGATTTCGAAAACGAGCGATGTAACAACAGATGGTGATCGACAATATCATTGCTTTGTGTAAACCTATTTTATTGTCATTGTAGGAGGAAGAGCG